CAGTCCACAATTATTGATTTATACTTAGGTCTACATCCAGAGTAAACAGTATTTCAAGTGAATCAAAACCAGAACTGTGTTATTGACATAGGACAGGACCGTTTTAGTCTCTTATATCGAAATCTGTATTGCTTTATTGTCAAAAGTATACAATATTCATATTGGTATGGTTACACTTATGAAAAGATACGTTTAGTTGTGATAATTCCTGTACACGGAAGTTTTACTTTCAAATAACTTAGAAAATGGCATATTTGCAAATCAATTACTAATATCGTATATTCGAAAGTATGTTAGTAACTGTCTTTTCCGTCTCATTATTTGTAACCTTTTCACTTAAAGGCTGAACGGATCTTAATTAAACTTACCCTGAATATAGATTGTATCATAAGGGCCGAATATACACTATGTTTAATTTTAAAAAAGACTAAATCTCGGGATTTTACTGGTCAGGATCTATTCCACCCTAACCTGTGTGTTAGGGTAGAAAGAGAATAATATATTTTCTCTAATAAAACATTTCAAATAAACATAAAAGGGGAGCAAGGGATCTCTTAGTGATGTGGATTAATAACTCTATTGCTAGTGATGTACCCCATCAGGTTGACCTTCACTCGGTTCCCTAAACCTAAGTTCCTGGTATATTTACCATGATGGGTTAACTGACCTGAGCTCATACTCATCTTATCATCCTCCACTGGTGCCCCACCAGCGTATATCATTACAGCAGATTCCATTATAATCCCTTAAAAAAAACACACGTTGGTTTTTAGAATATTAGTATAATAATAATAATTTCAGGACAATTCATACAGCGCCATTTAGAAACAAGTTAAGCTAGCTAAAGCTTGTGTTATAGATACTAGATAACTGATACAAATACACAGTTTTTTCTTTTTCATAAATACATACATATTACAACATAAAAAATATCCAGACCGATAGTATTTAATACAAATGTTTGTACCGTGCGAGAAATCGAACCCACGACCATCGGAAATAAGGCGGTGTGTTAAACCACTAGACCACCGAGGCCTAGCGCAACCATAAAAAAAAAATTATATGTTCTGTTTACTGTAAAAACGTCCACTTTAATACTCAACTAACGAGAATTAATATCCTCATTGCATATCTGTATGAATGAATACAACTCAGTTATGAAATGCATTTAAAGTCACGAACGCGCCCAGTGTACGCACAGATACCGCAACGATAGCACTATTTCGGACTTAGAGATGAGTTTAAAAAACATTTAGTTCAGTAAATTGTGTAATAACTTTAGAAATACAGTTTCTGGAAGTGAGTGAATATTTAATATAGTTTGAGTGTTGTTTATCAAGTGTTATGTGACTGGATTTGTAATATGTTAAAGTGAGTTAATATTAAGTTTTGACATATAAAACATTGGTTAAATATTAAAAATTAAACGTACATATCCAAAGATAAACATATTTTTGAGAATAATTGGCGTTATATTATTATATTTTTAATATGTTGTACTCTGTTTTTGGTATATTTAATTTTCTGTACATGCGTTCGAATTTTGAAATTTGAAAAAAATAAACACAATAATAATAGAATGAATACTACCTTAATCCTATGAAAATAGATTTCAAATTACAGTTACTTTTTATGTTTAAACCATTCGTTAATATGAGTAATACCTACGCGTGAAAAAATAAAAAAATGCGTTCGATTTCAGATTAAAAAAATTAAAGGTACAGTAAATTATCAATATATAATATATACAATATACAACAAAATAAATGCCGTGAAAATAATGTAATATTGTACACTATTCTCTGTGTATTTTTTTGTTATTCGAAGGTAGAAATCATTATTCTGGTTATCATTTTATTACATGCGAGTTTTGAGTTGATCTCAAATTCCAATGAATAAAAAACAGCCAATAGTTCTACGGGTTAGTACTGTTAATAACAATAATAATAGGTTACAACTTTTGTTCGTAAAAAGATTGGCATAAAATATGCACTAAATTTGAAATTGAGCTTATCAATATACATTAGTGATAACACAGAACAAACTCTGTTGTGAGTGATAACCAAATACATCGGTTACATACGGTTAAAATGTTATCAACCTTTTTTGTTTAATCCTTTTTTCTCCACCGTCTAGTTCAGTATACAGATACAGAACTGGCAAGAAACTCATCTGAATTTCTTTTTTTAATATCATTTTATTTACATTATATATATAGGTGTTTATATCTAACAATAGAATAGAATAGAAAGAGAATAGAAAATCATTTATTCAAAAAGCACTTTAACATTCATTATTTTCACAAGAAGAACGAGCAAGAAACTTGCGTGTTGCTCTTTTAAATAATTTTATTATTACTTTACATTTTTAAGTTTAAGTGTGTGAATACAAACCACCAATTAGCACTAATTCAATTAAATATTCAAAAAGAAAAAATATTGAATACATAACCAACTGGTTAAACAATTAATAAGAGGAAATCAAAGTTTATCAACGTACCATCGTTGATAAACTTTCCATGTACAGACAGTGATTAGTCACATTTTTATTACATCTAGATTAGATAAATTAAAATCAAAAATCATTTATCCATGTAGGATATTTTAGCCGCTTTTGAACGTCAACTTTTTTTATTTTAATCCTTTTTTCTCCACCGTCTAGTTCAGTATACAGATACAGAACTGGCAAGAAACTCATCTGAATTTCTTTTTTTAATATCATTTTATTTACATTATATATATAGGTGTCTATATCTAACATTAAATAAAAATCCAGTGCATTGTGATTAAATTACATAGATTTGTTCGGAGCCCTCTGTATTTGGGACGGACTCGAATTTTGCCGACTTTACTTCTTACGCGATCTCTCTTCGTTATTTTTAAAGGTGGTAATACGCGAAACAGTTTTATTCAGATTTATGGTATTGCTTTGTTCTTGGATTTGGCATGTTTATGGGATATGTCATCGCGTATACGAGTACATAATGTATGGTATAGTTATGAGTACGCATATAGCGGTAAAACAACAGGTTAAGATATTACTGAAGCAGACTTTGCACGAAGTCGTCTGCGTGGGTACTTCAGTCTCGCATAATTCAGCTGCCAAGTAACTTGCTTTGTAAATTGTGTATTATTTAAACATTAAAATCGAAATTTAAAAATTGAGATGTGGTAGTAAAATTTTGGTAATGAAACAAAGTCTTCAGGAATGGAAACTAGTGACAATATTAATAAGAATGTTTCAGAATAATCATCATATATACATTTTTTTGTAAATATATAGAAAACACCCAGACAAATTAAAAAAATGTATACAAAATGTATGTACCCTACGAGGAATCGAACTCGCGACCATCGGTAGTAAACCGGTGTGCTAAATGTTAGACCATCGAGGCCGTCAAACGGTGACAACGTGATGTTCATAATACTGTTCATGTTCTTAGGTTCGATTACCACTATGAGATAAATGTTTTTTACACTACGACGGTGGTAAACAAGTATACGGCCCAACTTGTGGTAAATGGTTAGCGTAGTCTATGGACGTCTGAAACACTAAGGGTGTCACGTAGGTACGTGTTGCCAACCCTTAAGAAATTGTAATAATAAGACTCTCAGCTTATTCGTCATTGTATCTACATAAAAAAGATCGTTTTTATAATAAGGTGTCATGATCCGATCTTAATTTTTATTTCATTATTAAGTATTCAATTATCCCATTAAATAGCATTTATATGGTCATCTATTGCTCATACACATAAGATTATCGTTTAATTGTCAATGGTTGTCAATTTTTTCGTCACGTTTGATGTCTTTATGCAGATGTATAAACGATGTAATAAAAATCAAACTGGATGTATAAACATTCCATTATTGCACTTCTAACTTGAATCTTTATATAGTGTCGCGTACAAGCAGCAACAAAACGCAACACAAAAGGAGCGTTCTGATTGGAGCGCACACCCATCCAATTTAAATACGCAACGTAACGTACTGACTTAAAAAATCAACCGATCGGTCTAACGTACTTTTGTTCACTCCACCAAATTTGTAATTTATAATAGTATTTATCCAATAAATTCAAGACTATAAGAAAAATCTATAATTTCAACAACCCTATAATCTGCTGAAGCTATCAACAACTACCATCTGAGCATTCGAGCCGCATCCACACGTACCATATAGTATAAAATAAATTTAAATTACACAACGGATTTCAATGCAGTTTTCAGTAATAGATAGAGTGATTCTAGTGTAAGTTTATATTTACAATATTTACTATATATACTATATACTAATATACGTGTCATAGTATATAAAAAGCTAAGAATTTCAAAGATTTGTAATGCAGCCGAGCGAAGCCGGGACGGAATGACGAAAATAAATTTAAATTGATATAATTTTTAATTTATTTTGATAAAATTATGTACTATACAATTTCCAATTTTTTTTGTATTATAGGTATATCATTATAATATTACTTCTCGATTGAAACTAGATTTGTGTGTGTGAAAGAATAAATAGTATTCGATTCTCTCGGCTTACCCATTAAATAGTCGATATAAAGATATATTCCTATATATTTATTACTACGATACAGAATATATTTTTATTCTACTATGGTGGCAAAGAAGCATACGGGCCATCTGATGGTAAACGGTTTCCACAGCTTATAAGTAAGCTGCACAATAAAAGTCCCGTAAAAATCGGTCTAGCCATTTCAGATATTAGCCGGAACAAACAGATAACAGACAAAAATTGAAAAAATGTTATTTTGGTGTATGATGTATCGTATTTATATTCATATGCATGTAGTAAAAAGCAAGACACTCCAATTTTATTTATATGTACAGATTAACATTTACATAAAATTTTATCCAAATTAATATTAAATATTTGAAATAAACGTAATCGTATCTTTCTTTGTCCACAGATATGCCTGGGTGTATAGTTTAAAGTGAATTAGTGGTACATATTATGACTTGAATATAAGCGTTCCTGAAAATGACGTGTCCATTTCGCCGCGCCTCCTCACAGCATCAGTTCGCTAACGGTGCCGGCTCAGCGGGCAAAAAACCGGAGTTCCGGTCGAGACAGTCCTCTGTCCACCTTCCTGGGCCTGATGAGGAGAATGGCGAGAAGAATACATTGACCCTTAAGAATCTGAGTGAGGCGTTACAGTTACTTACTGCACCATCGGTGAGTACCTATATACATTCTTTATCGTCCTAAATCTAAATATATATATAACTCAAAGGTGACTGACGTAGTGATCTATCAACGCACAGTCCAAACCACTGGACGGATCGGGCTGAAACTTGGCATGCAGGTAGATGTTATGAGGTAGGCATCCGCTAAGAAAGGATTTTAATTAGTTTTACCCGCAAGGGAATAAAATAGGGGACGAAAGTTTGTATGACACTTGGTCAATTTTAAACCGATCGGCTGAGACTTTGCGCATAAAGTTACTATGACGTAGGCATCCTCTAAAATAGTAATACATATATGAGTAGAGGCAGTTAAGATTTTTATTAACGAACTAGTGACCGCATCACATACGGTTAATTTCCACTTTCCACTGTCCAGCGTATTCGAATTATATTCACGAATATGTTTGTGTACATATGGCGGACTTAACACCATGCGGCGTTATCTACCAGTCAACCATGAGTGGTGCAGAGAAAGATTATTGGCGGTGCACTAATATAAATGAGAAATGTCAAAAAAAGATAAATATAAAGCAAAATATTTTAAAAATAAATTTCAATAAAAAAATACATATACATATGTTTATATAGTACTATCTCTGCTTAATTTAAACCTAGATATTTGTGATCTTTGTTATATATTTGTTGACGCCCTTACGACGGTTTACTTTCGATGGTTGCCGGTTCGATTCCCGGCACAAACATTTGTATTCATGAGTATGATTGTTTGCATCGGTCTGGGTGTTTTCTATGTATATTACACATGTGTTTACAAAAAAAATCGAAGTATTTATATCACTTGTACAGTGCCCATAACACAAACTCTGGTTACCATGGAACCAGATGGCGCTGTGTTAATGGTCCAGGGTTATTTATTATTATTATTTATTTTCATAAGTTATTACCATTGATTATATTATTAAGAATTCATTAAAAATAATATATTCAGTAATCATTTTCAGTATAAAAATAATCATTTTCATTACAAGATTTACAATTTCAATAAACACGAGACTAAAAATAAACGAAAATTGAACAAAAGGTAAAACCTTCGTAGTAACCTTGGGACTAGGTCACTTTGAAGTACCACTACAAATACCTACTCAAAGACCAACTATTCTGCGTACCTTTCAAAGAACGGGTTACGTACAATGGGGGCTGTAGAAATTTATTTATTTACTTATTTATGCTGGTTTTACACGCTTGTCTAAAAATGGTTAGAGTAATGTAATTATAAATATGTAGACATGGCAACACTCGGCTTTTTCCTATAATTTTTAAACCCACCTTCACGGATAGGGTCAGAACCCTAGACGGAAATCATTGTCAACTGTCAACGTCATGGGGATCGCAATATTTGACATGCCTACATTTTGCTCGGTATATTTTAATATTATATAATGTGGCAGAGGCCAACAATCGATTCCCTGTCAAATTCAAACGGGGATCGAAATTACGAAGGTTGGAACCCCTACCGGAGTCCTTAGAGTAAGTCCTTAAAGTCGTGTCCGTCAGGCAGGAGTTGGCTTTCAGCTGCTCCACAAGTCCTTCTGCGGCTTTGGAGTGCCATCTACACTCGGCTCCTATCGTTCGGTGAAGCTGCAAAGACCAGCTGTGGCTAACAGCATTAGGATAGTTAAAAAAAAGAGGGCGAGCCTACCACTGTCTTAAGTTTTTATTTGGTATCGGTGTTTTTTCTATGGGAGTCAAAAATACAAGTAGAAAAGATCCACAATTTCTTTTTGGTATCGACTAGAAATGAATTCACAAACTTTGGGCATAATTCTGGATAAATTACGCCCAAACTTATATTACCATGCCCACTATTTCTATATCTGAAACGTAAAAAATTACAACTACTATTAAGCAACTATATTAATGGGCTATAATCTATACATATAAATAAATTTGGAGTGTCTGTTTTTAATATTGAGATAACCGTTTTTTACCACATGCATATTAATATAAATACACTAATTACACCAAAATAACATTTTTTACAGTTTTTGTCTGTCTGTCTGTTTGTTTCGGCTAATCTCTGAAATGGCTGGACCGATTTTGACGGGACTTTTATAGGCAGGTAGCTGATGTAATAAGCAGTAACTTAGGCTACTTTTATTTTAGAAAAATAAAGTTAACTTCCACGCAGACGAAGTCGCGTGTACAGCTAGTAAGTAAATAAAAACATAGCTCCGCAAGTAAATTAAGAAGTTAATCACATGCGTCCACGAGTTTCGTAACAGATGGTATCTAAAGATAGAATCCTAAAATAGACACAGAATAGAAGAATAAACGAACACACAGAGACTATACGCATCTAAGACTTTACTTGAAAATCAATTAGTTACTACCATAAACATATTATCAATCTATCTAACATAGATATCGGACGGTGTCATCGTCGAATTGCTTTAACTTTAAGAAAAAAAAATATAATCGTACTTTAGATTCTTTAAGGGACCACTAGGGTATTTCTTTATCTACATTCATAGAATATATTTGTATATATAACCTAATACTATTGCGTCATTAGCAATCGTAGTCCTCAGTGATGCAACGGTTTACAACGTCGCCTTACTTCCTATGATCGCGGGTTCGATTCCTCGCACGGTTCGATAATTTGTATTGAGTATTATTGTTTGTATCGGTCTGATTATTTTCTATGTATAATATTGATGTAATAAAAAAATATATATAAAAATATCTATTTATGACAAGCTCTGCTTAGCTTGGGACTAGATGGCGCTGTGGAAATTGTTCTAACTTATGTTACTTCTTAATAATATTATAAACGCATATGTTTGTGAGTATGGATGGATGGATGTTTTTTACTCTTTAACGCAAAAACTTTTGAACGTATTTTGATGAAAATTACAGTAATATAGCTTGTACATCAGAATGACTTATAGACTATAGTCTAAAAAATATTATATAAATTGGGCGAAATATAAAGATAAATGTCAAGTAAGTATAATGCAGATGCAGTCATTACGTGTCTAATAACTAATAACAAGCTCTGCTTACCTTGGGACTATATGGCGCTATGTAAATTGTTCTAAGATATCTTACCTCTTACTGAAATTATAAACGTATAAATTTTGAGTATGGATAGATGGATGGATATTACTATAGATGTTTGTTACTATTACTATTGAACGTATTTTGATGAAACTTTACAGTAATATAGCTTGTACATCAGAATAACACACACACATAAATTGGGCGATATATATAAACATAAAGTTAATGTAATGCAGATGTAGTCATAGCTAGTTATTACTATTATTATCATCCATTAAACGGAAGCACCATCAAATTAACAATGCGTTTATTGATATGTCCACCAAATATTATATGCCTCTTTAATATTAAATTCGCTGACAATTAAGTGCCCGATTGCAGAATCGAAGTCCAGTACATCGTTAATATTCCGATCATAACTTCCGTATTCATTTTCAGAACGTGACAGGAATTGTAATGAAGTCATCAGGCCGGTTCCAATAATTTTTGAGTATATTGTGTGTTATTGGAAAGATATAAAACTTTAGATGCATATGCAAATTGTATGATGTAATTAAAACCTCGGCGGTCTAGCGATTTAGCATACCAATATAACTATCTTATTTTCCTATGGTCACGGATTCGATCCCCACATTGTTTCTATAAAATTGTTTATGAATTGACTAATTCCAATATACAACTATTACTACTTGCTCTGTGTTTGTGTGCGCTGATAAAAGCAATTTAATAAATAGATCCCTCGCATTTGGTAATTATTTGATTGTCTATTATTTTTAAGAATTGTTCCGATTAGTTTGTAGTAATGGGGTTGACATATTTGAAAACCAAAACCCCAAAATCAATTTAGATTAAAAAAATATATTACTACTTTATTTGGAATTAGTTGGCGTTATGTATATTATTAAAGGTTTAAAGTTAAAGTCGATTTACCAAGAATTAATTGCGATGGATTCCAGAAGAAAAACGACGTGAAGGTTACATGACATTTAACATTGTTAGAAATGGAAGCATTAGTTTAGTAAGAAACCCGTTTCACTCTTGATAAATAGGTTCTCGATATATATATATATACATATTGCCTAAGACATACTACAATATGATGAACAAAATGGTAGGCTTTAATAGTTAAAATTAATTTAAATATTTGAGTGTGTTTTAACATTGTAACATAACAATACGCAATAAAGTATGTTTTACTCGCCAACTGAAATAAAGTGGACGGTGGGGTAATATTTATTAATTTTCTATTTAACGCACCAGGTATTGTCTCATACAGATGACAATAAACTTGTATTTAGTAATTTTGTTATTGCCCGTAAAAGCAGTAAAAAATGACATAAGACATAAGTATGACAAACAGATATATGATGATATATATGGCTCTTCTTCCTTGCTTTTAATTGTATACAGCAGATGTTAGTGCATCTTTGTCTGAACCTAAAAATAATCTCCTGATTCATAATTAATGATGTCACTTGAGGCACAGAGAGGAAGCCTTTTACAGCTTCCTAGTTAAAATACTTTCTGAATATTTCACTGTAAGTTCTCTTTGTGACAACGAACAAAACTTTCACAGACAGAACTTGGCATATTTAAATTTTATAATATAGTTCTAGTTTGGTGATTCTTTCAGAAAGTATGTGCACATTTCCCGTATATAATACGGCTTACCTATTGGCGGAACTTAAGTAATAACAAAGTTATTACATACAAACTGACAACAGTATGTTATGTTTACACAGATACGCATAGTTTGTGAATAACATTGTTTGAATGTCAGAGGAATACCTTCTGAGAGAAAGAAAACGGATTTAATTGTACATTTAAAAAATACTATATTTATTATATGCTAGATGTGAGTACTGAGGTTCAAACAATAAGCAACTTGCCATATAAACTGTGTTTCAGTCTAAAGAGTAAGATAATAAGATGTGACAGTGACATTGTTATACCACCCACAAAAAAAAATGT